TCTTTTTGTTGTTGAGGTTTTGCAGTATCTTGTAGATTTTAGAGATTAGACACTGATTGGATTTGTCGTAGCTAAAATTTTTTTCCCAGTCTGTAGGTTGTCTTTTTACTTTTTTGGTGAAGTCTTTTGATGAGCGTAAGTGTTTGATTTTTAGGCGCTCCCATTTATCTAGTCTCTCTTCTGGTGCTTTTGCATTGTTACTTATGGTTTTTATTGCGTTTATGGCATGTATTCGGTCTCCTAGCGTTGTCCCTATTGATATACATTTTAAATATGCATTTAACCTAGCTTCCTGCTCCTTTTCAGAATTATAACATTCAGCCGGCCTGTGAGATATGAAGATGTGGAGCACAAGGTGGCAACATTATTTGGGCAGCCTCTCGAGCTACATTACATGAACAATGAGGTAAGGAAGTTGATGGACGGTGCAGATACAAGAGGGGACAGCTGCCCACTGTTTCTTTGTGCTTAACTGAGGATTTTCTAGTTTGTTCCTCTAATATCATCTGTAGGTTTTCATTTTCTGGAGCCCGTTTTCTTAATTCCAACAATTGTGGGAGTTCTGGCTTTCACTGCATTGGAGATTACACAGCTATTTCCATTCCGCCTACTCATTCAGTGCAGGCAGCGCTAATACTCCATGGTGGAAACAGGTGTGGTGCCAGGGCCAGGGCTTATACTGTCTTCTTTATATTTTGTAGAAGTCTCATTCTTAATAAGAAGCAGAGGGTTGAGCAAGGGCTGGAGAAGGTGTGGAAAACTGGTGGGTAGATCTTCTAATGACAGTCATAAATGCTGGATTCTGCTTAACTCCCGATTGTAACTTCTTTGTCTTGAAAGTTGGCACCTACTCCAATGATTTTTTTTTTTTAAATTGTGCTTTACGTGAAAGTTTACAGATAAGTTAATTTCTCATTCAAAAATTTATACACATATTGTTTTGTGACATAGGTTGCAATCCCCACAATGTGACAGCACGCCCCCCCCACCCCGGGTTCCCTGTGTCCATTCATCCAGTTCCTGTTCCTTCCTGCCATCTCATCCTGCTTTCAGACAGGAGCTGCCCATTTGGTCTTGTATATTTGATTGAACGAAGAAGCATGTTCCTCACGTGTGTTATTTTTGTTTTTTTATAGGCCTGTCTAATCTTTTTCTGAAAAGTGGGCTTTGGGAATCGTTTTAATTCTGAGTTAGCAGAGTGTCTGGGGGCCATAGTTTCAGGGGTTCCTCTAGAATCTGTCAGACCAGTAAGTCTGGTCTTTTTTTGTGAATTTGAATTCTGTTTTACATTTTTCTCCCACTCTGTCCGAGAATCTCTGTCAGAGTGGTCATTGGTGGTAGCCGGGCACCATCTAGTTCTTATATCAGGCTGGTGGAGTCTCTGGTTCATGTGGTCCTTTAGTCTTTTGAGCTAATATTTTCCTTGTGTCTTTGGTTTTCTTCATTTGCTTTGCTCCAGGTGGGATGGGACCAATAGATGTATCTTAGATGGCTCCTCACAGGCTTTTAAGACCCCAGATGCTACTCACCAAAGTGGGATATAGAACAATTTCTTTATGAATTATGTTATGCCAGTTGACCTATATGTCCCCTGAAACTATGGTCCCCAGGCTCCAGCCCCAGCTACTTAGTCCCTCAAAGTGTTTAGATGTGTCTAGGAAGTTTCTGTGCGTTTGCTTTGGTCCAGTTGTGCTGACTTCCCCTCTGTTGTGTGTTGTCCTTCCCTTCACCAAAGTTGACACTTGTCTGCTATCTCTGATGATTTCTTTAAACCTCCCTCAAAACAGTCCTTATTTATTCCTACTTTGAATGTCACCCAAGAAGGAATTCTTTTGAGTATCAGTTACTTAGGTACTTTCCCAGCTCCAAGAAAGGCACTAGAGACTACAATCTCCTTAGGCTGGTGCTTTGCATTAGTCTGAAAGACAATGTATTTATTTATTCCTAGTAAAGAGTGTGTTCCTTGAAGGAATTGAGTTGGGAGGCAAGACAAAATTGAGCAACATCATAATCTTACAGAGTAGGTCCTCACTATATAATTTTATTATATTGGTTGAAGGGTTTAAAAAATTTCCTCCATAGTTTGAGGCTGAAATTTGCAGGCCAGACTTTGAGACTTATTGACTAAACACTTCCTGATCCCCTTCCTACAAAATATACAACTACAGTTGGACATACCACCACATAGCTCACTAAAATAAAACCATCTGATCTTTTGTTTTTTGGGTAAATTTTAGAAATTTAGCAAATTTGGAAAATAAATCATTAACTCTATAGTTAATAAATTATACAGACATAAGTATTTTAAAGTATGTAAACTAATACATTTTAGGTATAGGATATGAGAACCACAAAAGTATAAATGTCAAATCCACAGAGCTTTTTAAAATTGTACATAGTGCACCTCAAGCTTCAGTGACTACATAAGAAGGTGAGTCTAAAGTCAGCTGGCTAATTAGCATTAAAGAAGGAATTCTTTAGTTAGTAGAGACTTTTCTGGAAGATTTAGTGCTCTTTTCTCTTTCAGGTAATATTTCCATTAAGAATTCCAACTATAAACTCTTAGAACAAAACATAGGAGTAAAGGTTTGGGACCTAGATTTTGACCATGGATTCTTAGATATGTCACCAAAAGCAAGAGCAACTAAAGACAAAATAGATGAATTGGATTTCATCAAAATTTAAAACTTTTGTTCTTCAAAGGACTTTATGAATGAAGTGAAGAGACAACCTATAGATAGGGAGAAAATATTTGGGAACCATGTATCTGATAAGAGTTTAATATCCAGAATATATAAAGAACTTCTACAACTCAACAACAAAGAGAAAAGCAGCCCAGTTGAAAAATGGGCAAAGGACTTGAATAGACATGTCACCAAAGATGATATACAAATGACAAATAAGCACATGAAAAGATGTTTAACATCATTAATCATTAGGGAAATGTAAATCAAAACCACTTCACCCCCACTAGGATGGCTATTATCAAAAAAATGGAAAATAAGTGTTGGCAAAGTTGTGGAGAAATGGGAACCTTCACTCATTGCTGGTGGGATTGTACAATGGTGCAGCCACTATAAAAACAGTATGGTGGTTCCCCAAAAAGTTGACAATAGAATTACCACATGACCCAGCAATTCCACTCTTAGGTATATATACAAAAGACTTGAAAGCAGGGACTCAGACAGATTCTTGTACACCAGTGTTCATTGCAGTATTATTTACAATAACCAAAAGGTGGAAATAACCCAAGAGTCCATCAAAAAATGAGCGTATAAACAAAAAGTGACATACATATTTTCAAACACTTTTGCCAAAAATATGACTGCCCAGAATGTTGGGCATTCCCTTATTCAAACGTTTATGCAGAAATTAATTCTAAAGCCAAATTTAAATTATTGTTATTATTTTAAATCATGCATATCTTTCCATACTCCAGTAACATCAATGATCAGGAGTGGACTAATATACATTTTATTAATTAGAGATCTCTTAACTCCTTTTTCTTTGCCCACTAACCCTGCCCCATCAGGATTTTAGGACCCCAAATGGAAAATCTATTGAGATTTTATTTTATTTTTATTTTTTAATAATAGCTTTATTGAGATATAGTTCACATACCATAAAATTCATCCTTTTGAAGTATACAATTCAGTGGTTTTAGTATATTCATAGTACAGTCAACACTACTGTCTAATTCCAGAACATTTTCATCACCCCAAAGAAAAACCCTGGAACCATTAGCAGTCACTCCCCATTCCTTCTTCCCCTATCCCCTGGCAATCAATAATCTACTTTCTGTCTATGGATTTGCCTGTCCTGGACATTCCGTATAAATTGAATTATAAAATATGTGGCCTTTTGTGTCTGGCTTCTTTAACTAAGCATATATTTTCAGGGTTTGTCTATGTTGTAGCATGTATCAGTACTTCATTCCTTTTTATGACAGAATAATATTTCATTGTATGGATAGACCACATTTTGTTTATCCATTCATCAGCCAATGGATGTTTGAGTTATTTCCACTTTTTGGTTATTATTGAACATTTGTGTGTAAGGTTTTATATGAACATATGTTTTCTTGGGTATATACCTAGGAGTAGAATTGCTCGGTCATATGGTAACTCTATGTTTAACTTTTTGAGTAACTGCCAAACTTTTCTACAGCAGCCACACCATTTTACAGTCCCACCAGCGATGTATGAGGGTTGCAATTTCTACACATCCTCGGCAACACTTGTTGTTTTGTTTTTGTTTTTAAATTATAGCCATTCTAGTGAATGTGAAATGATATGTCATTGTGGTTTTGATTTGCATTTCCCTAACAACTGATAATGTTGAGCATATTTTCATGTGCTTATTGGCCATTTGTATGTCTTCTTTGAAGAAATGTCTATTCAAATCATTTGCCCATTTTAAATTGGGTTATCTGTCTTTTTATTGTTGAGTTGTAAGAATTCTTTGTATATTCTGGATACTAGACACTTATCATATATATCATTTGCAAAATTTTCTCCCATTCTGTGAGTTGTCTTGAGATTTTATTTTAAACATTGTTCTTACATTTGCTTTTTCCCAGTCTTTGATTTAGAATGCTCATCAACTTCTATTATAAATTGGGAAATGAAGAAATTAGTTATACTTTTTGCTTAATTTTGTGTTTGTCACAATCGTATTAAATCTGATGTTTGCTAGGTGTCTTAGTAATCTAGTGCTGCTATAATAGAAATACCACAAGTGGATGGCTTTAACAAAGAGAAGTTTATTCTCTCACAGTCCAGTAGGCTACAAATCCAAATTCAGGGTGTCAGCTCCAAGGGAACACTTTTTCTGTTGGCTCTGGAGGAAAATCCATGTCATCAATCTTCCCTTGGTCTGGGAGCTTCTCTGCACAGGAACCTCAGGTCCAAAGGACGCACTCTGCTCCTGACACTGCTTTCTTGGTGGTAGAAGCTCCCATGTGTCTCTGCTTGCTTCTCTCTTTTATATCTCAAAAGCGATTGGCTTAAGACACTACCTAATCTTGTAGACCTCATCAGTATAACTGCTGCTAATCCATTTTATTACATCATAGTGATAGAATTTACAACACACAGGGAAATCACATTAGATGATAAAATGGTAGACAGTCCTACAATACGGGGAATCATTACCCAGCCAAATTAATACACACATTTTTGGGAGACATAATTCAATCCATGACACTGGGTCTTAGGCAAAGCATTCTATCACATCTTTTGATGCTAATGCCCTCTGCTTTTAAGTGAGTCTTGTCTGTACCCTACAGACCTTCTCTTTAATACTTGGACAGAATAAAAGCAGAGGAGGTAGTTTTGGGGGTTCTAGTCACTAACTTTTGCCTGTAAACATTAAGATATTAAACTTTGCTATGTCTAAATTTGCATTCTTATTTGAATAGTTGTTTTTGTCCTCTGCCAACTCCCATTCCTCCTGTGTCTTTACTTTTTTTTTTTTAATTGTGCTTTAGATGAAGGTTTACAGAGCAAATTAGTTTCTCATTAAACAATTAATACACATACTGTGTTGTGACATTGGTTGCCAACCCCACGACATGTCAACACTCTCCCCTTCTCAACCTTGGGCTCCCCGTTACCAGCTTTCCTGTCCCTCCTGCCTTCTCATCCTTGCCCCTGGGCTGGTGTACCCATTCAGTCTCGTTTTGTTTTATGGGCCTCCTGTGTCTTTTCCGTTTGCTTTGTTAATGTCAGCAAAATTGGGGATAGGGTAAGATATGATCCTACTGCTGAATTTGGGTAGAAATATGGAGCCTATAACTGTCTGAGATTTGATGTTTTAGAGTAAAGAGTAGTTTTAGAGAAGAAGCTCTTCTCAGAAAATATCTCAAAATGAAGCACTGATGTGTGCCACAGCATGGATGAACTCAAAAACATTAAGTGAAAGAAGCCAGACACAAAAGACCACATATTGTATGATTCCACTTATATGAAATGTCCAGAAAAGGCAAATCCATAGAGACAGAGAGTAGATTAGTGGTTGCCTGGGACTGGGGTTTGTAGGAGGGGAATGACTATAAGTGGGCATAAGGGATCTTTTTGGAGTAATAGGAGTGTTTTAAAATTGAATTGTGGTAATGGTTGCATAACTTTAAATTTACTAAAAATCACTGAATTGAACACTTTAAAAAAGGGGGAGGGGAGAAACTATTTCTATTGTTTCAACAAGATCTTTTAAGACTCCATAGTATTCAAGGGAATTCTTTTTCCATCAAACTTGTATTTGTTTATTTTTTATTTATTTTTGCAAACTGTAGCATTGAGATAGACTTGTACCTTATATGATTTTCTTTTTCTGTGTCCTGTGTCATAGCTCTCCATCCTGCTGAAAAACCAAGATGATCTTGATAAGGCAGTTGACATTTTGGATAGAAGCTCAAGCATGAAAAGCCTTAGGATATTGCTGCTGTCCCGGGACAGAAACCATGTAAGTAGCCCCTGTCATGGCAGCTGAAGACAAAGCTTGCTTTCCTTCAGGACCTTGCTTTGCTTCTTGACAGCATTGTGTGTGACTCAGCCACTGCCAAAGTGAGAACGTAAGTACATGCCAGCCCACTGTGTCAGTGACCAGTGAGCCTGCTGCATTTGATTTCACGAAGAAGGCAGACTGTCAGTGTTGATGTTGCGACTAAAGGTTATTTGGCTTGTGGTGTGGGAGGAAGGAAAACACTTTATGCTAAAGGGGAAAGTTCCTTTGCTGTATGTTTATATTCTTTCATTTAGATTTTTGACCCCAGCAAGAGAGATTCGATCAGCATGGGGATGCTGATTAGCAAAGGCTGTTGAGGATTTGAGATTGTCATGCTTTGTAAACTCAGTTCCCATACCTCCTCAGCAGCCTTTCCTTTCCCCCAGCACACGTATAGGAAGCAAACTTTTCCTTCTGTTCAATGAGAAAAAAAGCCATGGACTGGAGAGCCTCTCGTAACTTACCAGCTGCTGCCTCACCAAATGGCAGGCAATTTACAAGGGCCATCAGAAGTGAGGAATTATCTCTTATGCAATTTCCTCTCCTGAGGGATTCCTGGGGACCTCCATTTCACAGGAATGCTTGCAATCAGTTTTCTAACCTCTGATTCCTCTACCAGTTTTTCGCCAGATACATGTTCCTGAAGGTGCCTGCACTTTTTCCTTTCCTTATACTTACATCCCTCCCATCTCACCTCTGCTGTCTCAACTCTACCAAGGCCTTGTCTTAGGCTTCAGTGTTGTTCGCCCCTGAGAACTCCTGGAGTTTGTTAATCACAGAACCTCCTCTTTGTCTAAACATAATTTTGTTTATATTTCCTGAACTCCCTGTGTCCACTCTCAAAGCCTTGGCTCCTACTGTCTTTTTAAGATACTTCAGCATCTTCAGTATTTCTTGCTGCTGTAGGTCTTGGACTATCATTAACTTATTCCTATTAAGGACTTCTCTAAACATGCTTCTAACTGTTATCTTTCTGCTGTTGACTTCTTATGAGTTTTTAGTGCCAGATTTTCCACTGTCATAAAGTAATCTCAAGCTTAACATTCTTCTATCACTTGATGAATTCAGTTCTCTCTGACAAAAGTAAACTTCTAATCGTCTCGTCCAAATGCTGCCCACTTCTCAAGTTTCCCATCAGTGAGTTTGGCACTATCTTGGCTACTATTTAAGCTCAAAATATCAAAGATAATCTAAAGGCTAATTCTTTTCAGTCTTCTAAAAATAATGGGGCAAATGGAGGAAGATAGAACAAGACTGATTGGGCAGAATGGGGATAAATGAGCTTTGTTGTTGTGTGCCGTTGAGTCAATTCTGACTCATAGCAACCCTATAGGACAGGGTAGAACTGTCCCATAGAGTTTCCAAGGAGCAGCTGGTAGATTTGAACTGCCATCCTTTTGGTTAGCAGCCTGAGCTCTTAACCACTTCACCACCAGGGCTCCAGATTAGCTTTATATTTCAAAAAATAGCTTGCATGTATAAAGGTGCTTTAATCTTTCATTTGGTATTACAACCAGGACTTCGAACTGGTTCATTCTGGTTCAAAACCTTGCTGAAAATTTGCATTTCTAACAAGTTCCCGGGAGATGCTAATCCTGCTGGTTAGGGACCAGTTCTGAGAACCATTAGTAGAGCCATGGTTCTCAAAATTTATCATACGTAACAATCACCTGAGGATCTTGTTAAAATGTAGATTCTGATTTAGTATATCTGGGGGTGGAAATGCAAATTCTCAGCGGGGGTTCTAACCTGAAGGAACTGGTTTGAAGCCCTGGTTTGAAAACCCTGATTTAAGGAAATACAGGAATGTAGCATGGCATGGTAAACAAAAATGAGGTTATTACAAGGATTCAAGGAAGCTTGAAGCAGGAAGACTTAGTAGCAGGGCTTTAAATCGGTTCAGACCAATTCTTTCATGGCCGACAAAGCGAAATCAGAACAGACCCAAATTTTTTAATGTGGGTGAACTGGAACAAAAACTGTAACAGGAAAGGTTATGGGTCGAAGCCCTGGAATGGGAGACTCAGAAGAGGCGTAGTGAGTCCTTTTAGGAGCCTGATATGGGAGACTGGATTATTGGTAGAACTGTGGAGAGCGACATACATTCAGAGTAGTGTGGTCGGCTGCCATTTTTGAGTGGGGTACCACTGTTTCTGACTCTGCCAGCCAAGAGATTTGGTTGCTATGCAATGCACATGCTGCTTTTGTTTTCTAAGAGGGAGATTAAGTTTCTAGCAGGGCTTTGACCCATAATTTTTCCCATCCTGGTTCTCCTTCTGGTTTACCCACATTTTAAAAATACAGATCTGTTCTGATTTTGCCTCATGGGCCATGACTGAACTGGGAAGAACTGGTTTGAAGTCCTGCTTAGAAGTGGAAAAGACAAGGAAAGTGGGACTAGGAAAAATAAAAATAAAAGGAGAGTGAAAGAATACCCAACAGTGTGATGCGTGTAGCTAGTGGAGCTTTCTAAAGACAGCAAATAGAAGTTGGCATTTGATCATTCAGTGCAAAGTTCAGTGAAGCACTCTGTGGGCAGCAGTATAATGTAGCTGACACAATATGAAAAATTGCTATGGAGCCATGTGCACAAAGGTATGCAGCATCTGGAACTAAGAGATAGCAGAAAAAGAGGCTAAAAAGTCAATCGCAGATTATCTTAATAAAAAAATTTGGTGGTATGGGCCAAAAGGAACAAGTGGATTCAGCTATGCAGTGGAGAAAAAAAGGGTGGCTTTCCTTCAGTACATGGGAACTTAAGGTCAAGACTTAATGGCACATCATTCTCACCAATAGCGTCCAGTCTAGTCATCTGCTTTAAGGGTGATACCAAGAGACGTTTACATGGAAGACCATGATAATTATGATAGTTCTGGAAGTATCCAGGTTATTTAATTAAATTGATAGCCTTAACATCCATGAATTTATTAAAAATCTTTTAAGAAAAAATTTGTTTTGAAGCTATACAACTTCGGAATAATAGATGCCATGTTTATCATGGCTATATACAATTCTTATTTCCTTTTTGTTCTAAAACTAACTCCCAATGTTCAAGGGGCTCACCTAAATTGACATTTGGTAAATAATCTATGTTTTCATTATCCATACTCTCCAATGTATCACAAACTTTGATTCAGGGCTTTGAACTGGTTCTTCCAGTGTAGTCATGGCTGACGAGGCAAAATCAGAACAGACCCAAATTTTTTAAATGTGGGTGAACCGGAGTGATAACCAGAAAGGGAAAAAAAAATTTACAGGTTGAAGCTCAGCTAGAAACTTAACCTCCCTCTTAGGAAACAAGGGCAGCGTACACATTGCATGACAACCAAATCTCTTGACCAGCAGAGTTGGAAACAGTGGTGCCCCATTGAAAGATGGTGACCAATCACGTCACTTTATATGTGTGTCTTTCTCCACAGTCCTGCCAATAATCCAGTCTCCTGCATCAGGTTCCTGAAAGGGCTCACTATGCCTCTTCTGAGTCTCCCATTCAAGGGCTTCCTCTGTAATTTTTCCCATTCTGTTTTTGGTTCTGGTTCACGCACATGTAAAAATTTGGGTCTGTTCTGATTTCGCTTCGTTGGCCATGACAGAACCAGTTAGAACCAGTTCAAAGCCCTGCTTCTAAGTCTTATTCAAGTTTCCCTGAATCACTGCAATAATATCATTTTTGTTTACTATGCCATGGTACATTCCTTATGTCCTTAAATCAGGGTTTTCAGACTTGGCTGAACATTACAATCACTTGAGAGATTTAAAAAACACCAATAGCAGAGACTCTGTTTCAGGCAGGGCTTCAAACCAGTTCATTCCTGTTCGAACCCCTGCTGAGAATTTGCATTTCTAACAGTTTCCCAGGTGATGGTAATGCTGCTGGTTAGGGACCAATTCTGAGAACGACTAGTAGAGCAGTGGTTCTCAAAATTTGTCATACATAAGAATCAACTGGGGATCTTGTTAAAATGTAGATTCTGATTCAGTATATCTGGGGTGGAAATGCAAATTCTCAGCAGGGGTTCAAACTGGAACGAACTAGTTCAAAGCCCTGGTTTTAGTTGGTCTGGGGTGTGAAAAGCCCCACAGGCAGTTTTAATGGACAGCCAGGGTTGAGAACCATTTCCTTAAATTGAAGTATGAGCCTTATCTCCTAAGACCTTGCTACTCAAAGTGTGGTCCATGTAACAGTAGCATCAGCATCACCTGGGAGCTTGTTAGAAATACAGAGTCTCAACCCTACCCCCGAAAACAAAACCAAACTCGTTACTGTCAAGTTAATTCCAACTCACAGCGACCCTGTAGGACAGAGTAGAACTGCCCCATAGGGTTTCCAAGGCTGTAAATCTTTACAGAAGCAGACTGCCACATCTTTCTCTTGCAGAGCGCCTGGTGGGTTTGAACTGCTGATATTTTGGTTAGCAGCCAAGTGCTTAACCACTGTGCCAGCAGGGCTCCCAACCCCACCCCAGACCTACTGAATCAGAGACTGCGTTTAACAAGCTCCCAAGTGATTCATATGCACATTGAAATGTGAGAAGCCTGTGAAACCTTCATTGATTACCTTCACCTACTTTGCAACCTGTTGCTGAGACTTGGACCTTTCCTTTTACAAATCTCCACTTGTACTGGCTGTTGGACCTACTTACCTTCTCAGCTTTTAAATTTTAAATTTGAGGGTTTAGTCTTTGGTACATTTCAAGTTCACATTATCAAGATTTGTTGTGTTGCCACTATGTTCAAGGAGTAATGATGTTCATTATGCAGCTCTTCTCTGACTGGAGGGCTGTGGCCTTCACTTGCCCTCCACTAGCCTGCTTCCCCAGTATGTGGCTTTGGCTGTTTTTTCCTTTCTGACTCTCAGCGGAGAACTATTGCACATCTGAGGCTTCAGCGAGAACATTCACTTCCCCTTGGTTCTGACTTCCCGTTAGAGCAAGACAGTTTGTCAAGACAGCCCTACGTGTGATAAAGTCTGGCTTGGGGAGGCTGGAGGAGGCAACTTGGCAGCTGAACGCACCCCTGAGAGTGGGAAGCCTTCTTCCTGAAGGGCAGGATATAGAGTTTGTTTAGGTCGCGCTTTTTTTTTTTTTCAAATAGGAGTTAGAGGAGAGATAGAGACGCAAGTAAAAACTTTGACCCAAATTGTTTCTAAATCCTGAACTCCCATTCCACTCTCAGTCATGCTCTCCTTATTTGTAATCACATCCTGACATCACTTGCTCACCTTCAAGGCTCAGTTTTAAGCCTTCTTAGTGCAAGGGGCCCCCTTTGTTCCTTCATTTTCTCTGTCTGGTTCACCTGTGCCTTGACTGGGTGAGTGCAGAAGTGGGGATGGATGTGGTAAGGCTGCTGACCCTGCTCTGAGGTCTCTGACCTCTGGCAGGATGGTGCTGTTGCTGGTTGAACTCGATCCTGAGATAGTTCTCATGTAAACCCTGGTCATGTGAAGCAAGTGAGATCATCATATCTTAATTTTAAGGGAGTGATTATGGTTGGGAAAGAAGCAGCATATCGACTCTTTTTAAAAGTACATATTTATCAACCAGTGTTTTGTTGGGTAGGGAGGTTGCTATCATTCTCCATTCTGACCCGCACTCGGCAGGTGATCTCTCTGCTGAAATAATTTCCTGCTATTCTTCCCAGCTCTCTGGAGAATTTTATGAGAAGGTATTTACACATCTCTTTTCTGTTTGGCACATATTACAGGAGTGCCTGTTATTCCTCCTTATCTGTGTCATCACCTATTAAACTGGGGGACCAGGTCTCAGGGCTCATATCACTGAAGCTGAAAAACTACATTGAGCAAACAGTGATTTGTCAAGACGGATTGAGGAGTGAGATTTAGGGGAAAGCAGAGGAGCTTATGTGTTAAGTAACATGAAGGTGGCTGAGAGCCGAGGGAGGCCTAGGGAAGCGGGGAGGGACCTTTATAGGCCTGCCTGCTTAAAGACCCGTCTCAGTCTTCTTCCCCTTACCTTACAGACCAGTTCCTCTCCCCACTCTGGGGTGTCCAGGCAGGTGCGGATCAAGGCTTCCCAGTCCGCGGGGGATATAAATACCATCTACCAGCCCCCTGAGCCCAGAAGCAGGCATCTCTCTGTCGGTGAGTATTTCTTCCCTTTTTTTTTCCTTTTGTCTAATTTATCTGCCCATGTTTTAAAAACTCAACAAATATTTGTTGACGAAAAAACAATCGTCAAACATTTACTGACTACTGCTACATATTATCTTCTATGCCTTTGTTTGGGGAGAATGGGTATAGAAATGACTGGGACAATGTCCTAACCCTCAAGGAGCTTGTAATTCCATGATGTAATGGTGTGATAAAATGCCTTTTAAAGATCCCTGATCTCATCAAACATCTGCTTGTATACCTCTATTGACAACAGCAGTCTACCCTCATTCTTTTTTTTTTTTTCTTTTTCTTTCTTGGCTGAACTATACTTATTCTTGGCCATTCTTCCCCAAAAGGACTGTGAGCTTGTAAAGTTAGAAGTCAGGTCCAAATCTAAGTTTTGACCTCCAACTTTTTAGTTATGATTCCTAAAGCATCCTTGTGCTTCATGGAAGATGTTGACCAATGAAACTCTTGGAGAATCAAGCTAAGTTGTCTAGAAAGGGCAGGAGACTGTTGACATAGCAGGTGCAATTGGCTAACTAGTAAGAAGGCTATGTAGCTGGTGCCAGGCCTCCCCAGGAGAGGAGTCTAGATCAAGTCTCTGTTATACCAGTAACCCAATATCACTCTGGATCCCATTTCCTAGAGTCTGAGGAGAATGCCCATTTCTTAAATTGTAGAATTTGTATCAGAGGATAGTCTGGCCTCATCACACATTTGTGTTGAGCCTACGGTTCTAATGTTGCTGAGACCCCTGCTGCCACTAGGAAACCAAGTCCATGTAGGTAGAATTGCATCAAACTAAACCGCTCTCTGAAGATCCTGAGCCGTGCATTGGTCCTGTTACTGAGCTTATCTGTGAGTGATAATCCTCCTGAGGGAGTTGCAGGAAAAATGTGTTTCTGAGGCACTGACTTTGTTTCACGGAGCAATTTCTGGAACCCAGGCAAGGTGAAAGTCTGTGTATGAGTTTCAGATTTCTCTGACATTGTGAGTCATCAGTGGCTATGTTTTCAGGAAGGTGGTTGAGAGATTGCCGGCATCCCAGCAAGGAGACCCTGTACAGGGCATCTCTGGCCCTGGAATTCAGGTGCCCTAGAGCCTGGGAAACTGCCAGCTTGGCCTCTGTTCTGGAGCCCTTGTGGAGATTGAGGGGTTGGGAGAGGGCAGCATTGTTCATGTATAGAATAAGCAGGGAAGACTGATGTCAGGCAGTGATTGGGCCTCCTGCTTGTAAGTTAGAGTCTGATTTCTGTGTGGAGGCAGGGGCTAAATGCTGGGCCAGGTGGACCCTTTCCCCATATTGTAGGGAGTCATATATGGAATTTCCCTGACTGAGAATGCTGAGGAGTAGTTCCATGAAGCAGTTTCTCATTTTCTAGAGAATGGACAATATACCTTCCCAACACCTAGATCCTGGTTCCTTCATTCAGCAAGCATTATGTACCAGCTGGTGGGCTGGGGTGACTGCTACAGTATAGGGCAAGGGTGCTGAGGGTGTACAGCGGAGGCAGTCACCATCTCTGCCCAAGAGTGTGGAGAAGTTCTTCTGCAGAAGCAGGGAACATCAGAGTGGACACAGTAAGGTTTGCTGAGCATAAAGTAGAGACAGGTATTCCAGGCACAGCCACAAACGAGTGTGGTGGGTTCAGAGAACCCCAGGTGGTTTGGAAGGTGTGGAGGGTGAGGTTGCTGTGGCAAGAGAAGTGGGCAGAGCCTGCCAGCCTTTCTGTAGAGCCGAAAAATGCGAGAGATTATTTCTAATTGGAGTGATCTGGAAATGCATTCTGGGGAGGAACTGTTTGAAAGCTTATGGAGGATTTCCATAGGCAAAGAGAAGAGAAGAGGGCATTCAGGTGGTTTGTGGAGATCTTAGATACAGTTCAGGTCCATATTGGCTGATTTATCTGGAGGAGGAGGAGAGACGGCTGAGACAGGATTCCTGGGGCCACTTTCTGAGGGGCTTTAACCTTATCTACACTAAAAATATTTCCCCTTGTTCCCATCTCCATTATAATGCTTATCTTATTTCTCCCCATCAAACTGCATTTTTATTCATTCATTCATTCATTCATTCAAGAAATAATTGCCAAAAACATGGGAAGCAAAAAAAACAGGGTTCCTATCCCTGTGGACGTTATAGACCTGTGGTAAGGCAGACATTTACTTGTCATGATGTGATTAATATTTAAGTGTAAGCTGTGATTAAAAGGTGTGTTGTATTGTGAGAGTGTGTAATAGAGGGTATGACCTGATCTGGGGTCAGGAAAGCCTTAGGCTCTGATCTGAAGCCTGAGGGTAATTATGCCCAGGGTATACAGGAAGAAAGTTCTCTGCAGAGGGAGCTGCAGTGTAAAGGCCTGATAGGGAGTGTGATGTGTCTGAGAAGCAGAAAGAAGGTAACCAAAACCAAACCCTTTACTGTGGGGTTGATTCTGACTCACAGTGACCCTGTAGGGCAAAGTAGAACTGCCCTATAGGGTTTCCAAGGCTGTAATGTTTACAGAAGCAGATGGCCACATCTTTCTCCCACGGAGTGGCTGGTGGATTCGAACTGCTGGCCTTTCGGTTAGTAGCTGAGCTCTTAACCACTGCGCCATCAGGACTTCTTAGAAAGAAGGTAAGTTAACAGTTTATGGATCCTGATGGCTCAAGACCTGAGAACAAGAACAGCTGAGAGCCACTGAGTGGCTCACGTGGGACAAGATGAGGCTGGGGAGGGAGGCGAAGCCTTTTCAGACCTCGGTGAAGATTTTGATCCTTATCTTGAAAGCAGTGAAAAGCCACTTCAGGGTTTTTTAAGTGAGGAATATTGGGTGTGGGGTGTGTGTGTGTGTGTCTCTGTGTGTGTGTGTGTGTGTGTGTGTGTGTGTGACATATTCAGATTTGTGTTTTAACAAGATCTCTCTGGCTACAGTGTGGAGGGTAGATTGGAGGGAGGCAAGAATGGACACAAGGGAACCATATTAGGTTACTGCATTGATTCAGGTGAAAGAAGATGAAAGCTTGGACTAGGCTGGTGACTAGTGGAGAGAAGAAAGAGCAGTCTAATTTGGGACTGATTTGAGAGACGTTTAGAAGGTAAAACTGATAGAACATGGCATTGCAGTGATTCTCAAAGTGTGGTCTGTGGGCCCTGTGGGGGTTCTTGAGACCCTTTCAGGGGGTGTGCACGGTCAAAACTATTTCCATAGTAATACTAATATGTGATTTGCCTTTTCATTGTCATTCTCTCGTGACTGTCCAGTGGACTTTTCCAGAGGTTACATGCCTGAGGTGATGTCATCACTCTGATGGCTAATGGAATGTATGCTTGTGTATTATTGTGTTTTAAAACTTTCTGAGTTTTAATTTCTAATACAGGAAATATCAATAGATATAACCCACATAAATAAAAGCCCTTGGGGGTTCTCAATTTTTAAAGTGTAAAGGGGTTCGAAGACTAAAAGGTTTAAGAACCACTCTGGTATTAGATAGAATTTGCAGGGGTTGAGGGAGAGGGAGGTAAGTTACTGGTTTATGGATCCAGATAAATAGCAATGCCTTTCACTAAGACAGGAATGCTGGAGGAGGGCCAGGTTTCGGGTACTAGAAGGGCACAGGCCTAATGTTGTAGATATGTTGAATTTGAGGTGACTTTGAAACAACTAAGAGGAGATATCAAATGGGCAGTTAGATATACAGGTCGCTAGCTCAGAGGGGAGATATCAGGGCTAAAGGAAGAAATTGGAACTTCTCAAATTGAAGCCAGGAGCCCAGATGAGAGTGCCTGAGCAGAGACTCTAGAATGAGAAGAGGGCCTGGGACTGCGCCTTAGGAACCCAAACGCTTAGTGGTCAGTTAGAGGAGGATGAGCCTGCAAAGGACACAGGAAAGGAGTCACTAGAGAAATAGGAGGGAAATTAAGAGAATGTGGCGGGGAAGCCTTCCATAGGGCCAGTGAAGTGAGAAAGGATGGACCAAGGGTAAGAGACACGAGCTTGTGATTTTCATCCACAAATGTCTGAGTGCTTGCTGAGCGCTGGTGCAGTGTTGTCAACCTAGAAGTAGAGGAAACGTGAAGAGACAGGCATCAAGGTTGAAGCATGAGTGACTCGGAGAAGGGCAGTAGAAATGGGGTCAAAGGAGAAGTCGCTGGTTTGTAAACCTTTGCGGTTTGGCCTCCCCCTCCCCTCCACTTCCTGCTCCCCTACGCACATTAACACCCTTGTGTATTTAGTGAGACCTGCAGGTCCTTCACGCCCATAGCAGCTTTGTCCATGGTGGGAAAAGTGCAAGGAAGCCCAATCCAATCTCAGACAGTTCTGTTTTTTGAAGCTCTTCCTTATTTTGAATTGAAAATCTGTCTCCTCTCACTTTACCCACTGACTCTAGTTCTGCTCTCAGGAGCAACTTAGGTAAACTCTCTTTTGTATGACACCTTTTCAAATATTTGAAACGAGCTGTCATGTTCACCCTTTGTTTTTTCCATCATATTGCACGTTACCTTGAATTCCGATTTTTCTCAAGCCAATTAGTCTGTTAAAATAGTTCATGCTTAAAAAACAAAACAGAAAAACTACTAGGTAATGAGTTAACCCAAAAGACAGACCCCTTGGGGAGATTGCCAGGCAAAGCCAATGGGATTTCCCTACATGAAAATGCCCTTCCTCACATCTTTGCCTATGGAAATTCTGCCCACCTTTGAAGGTGGAGCTCACGCACCATTTCTGGACTTGTCCCTGCCACATTCTGACTCCCATTTGGTCTAGTGCATCTTCTTAAGGACCTTTGTCCTTGCCCCATCTCTCTCCCTGCCTTGCCACTGAGTCCCACAGTGAGGCAAGCCAGATTGCAACCCCTCAGGAGTAGAGCTGATGAGTGGAGACCATCAGTTTCAAGGTGTTTGGCAGTGAAAGATCAAACGAGATGGGCTAGTGGCTTAAGGGAGCAACAGAAACGAGATCAGGGTATTTTAAGGCTAGGTCTGAGCATGTATATGAGTA